GAGTGACCTTCACTAGCGCTTTTAAATTCGACAAGCAGGTCAGCACCGTAGTCAAATCCTGCTTTTTTTTTTTAAATAAGACTATTGGCCAAAACCAAGTCGTATTTATCTTTTAAAGACTTATAAAGGGTTATTAACGCCTTTGTAACCTCGAGACTGGATTACTGCAACGCTTTGTATGTGGGTATGGACCAGGCCTCTATTAAACGCCTGCAGCTAGTCCAAAACGCAGCTGCACGTTTGCTGACTGGCCACAAAAAGCGTGACCACATCACCCCAATTCTGGCCTCACTACACTGGCTTCCAATTTGGTTCCGAATTGATTTTAAAATCCTTTTATTTGTTTTTAAAGCACTAAATGGGCTGGCTCCGGCCTATATAGCTGAACTCCTCCAGCGCTACACCCCAGCCAGAGCTTTAAAGGGCCCATGTCATGGCCATTTCCACTGATCATAATTACATTGTTGAGGTATACTAAAATAGATTTATACTGTGCAATTTTCCAAACTCACATTGGTTTCGCATACAGCATCTCTGTAAAGTATGTGTATTCAGCAATATTCACTCTCTCCAAAAACGACTCGTTGGAGCTCTTGCCCCCCCCCCTCCCTGTGAGCCTAGTGTGCTCCGATTGGTCAGCTCGGCCACTCTGTTCTGATTAGTCAACCACCAGAGAGGCTCCGCCCATGTCTAACAGTGCTTTTTTCGGCTCGCTCTCGGAACATCAGTCTTATAATGGTGTCGGTACAGCCGTATATTTTATACGCTAACTAACCGAACCTACAACTGTTGTTATAGAAGAGTGTGATGGCCCCAGGGCCTTTGTGCAGGTGTGTTGCAGGTCTTACGATGGGGTGGAGCTTAAGAGGCTAATCAGCGCGATCACGGACACCTGGCCGGAGCCGAGGTGCTATTAAGCCCAGCTGCCCGGAGTCACACGGCGGCCCCTGTCTCTCTCCAAAGCGGCTGCAGAAGGACGAACTCGGCGATCCTCTCCCCTCGACCACCTATCTCTGCATTTACCACAATAAATGTGCCGTGGTTTTGTAAACTCATGTATGTCTCCTTGTCTTTCCGTTGTGGCCTACGAGCCGGTCATAACAAAGAGTAAGTTATTTTTACCTGTAATAAACTACTACTGTTTGATGAGAAATCAAATCATGGTTTGCTATATATGAATGATATGTTATAGGAGCAAATAATTCAGGGAAGAAAGGATAGGCCTACTAAGTATTTCCATTAGGGCCGTCAGTCGATTAAAATATTTAATCGCGATTAATCGCATGATTGTCCATAGTTAATCGCGATTAATCGCAAATTAATCGCACATTTTTTATCTGTTCTAAATGTACCTTAGAGGGATATTTTTCAAGTTTTTAATACTCTTATCAACATATGAGTGGACAAATATGCTTTATATGTTTGTTTATTATCATTTGAACAATGACAAATATTCTCATGAATATTAAACACAACAACCTCTGAACATTACAAATATTCGCCTCAATACAACCTAGAACCTCTCTCATACAATACTGTGTGTGTGTGTGTGTGTGTGTGTGTGTGTGTGAATGTGGAGGATCGTTGGAGCTATGTGCAGCTCAAGGCATATATGCCTGTGTGTATGAGCTGTGTTGCGGCACTATCCGTGCTGAGTGTGCTGTCTGGCTACCTGCATAAAGTCAAGTGCTCGGTGCAGTTGTCGGCGAAATGTCGCTCCTCTGTTTTCATTGAAACAGCTCCTTATATCCGTTAGCTCAGCTAGCTAGCACCAGATGCTAACAACAACACGTAAGGTGTGCTTCGCTCGCGCCACACATACACACACCCTCCCGGTCCTCCCGATGGCCAGTCCGGGCCTGCCGGTGAGCGTGGAAGTGTGGTCTGCCACAAGCGGGCAGCAGGAGCGGGGCTGTCAGCATCAGCTTGTAGATGGTATTTTAAACTCGATGCGCTCTGAAACTACGGCGGCCGAGGACAAAAAATACACATGCGTTAATCGCGTTAAAATAATTAGTGGCGTTAATTTTTTTTTGCGTTAACGCGTTATTAACGCGTTAACTTGACAGCCCTAATTTCCATTAAACTTTATTTTTAGAAATGTACAAAATGAACATAAATATACATATATACACGGTATATCATCAATTCCTCCCCGTTGTCGGCATCTTGCCTATTGCAGCCGGGGCTTTTTAGGACGATGCATCAGTGTGGTAGTCCCGTCATGTATTGTCCGGCAGGATCTGGCTGGACGAAATCAAATGCAAATCACTAACTGGCATGAATACATTGTTTTGCGCTAGCATGTACATGTACTGTCAATGTACGGTAAATCACCCGGAGTATACTGTATGAGTATTCCGTGTGTGACTGCAGACATTCTCCTGCCATGACAAACATGTAAGGCCATCTGCTGACATTGTAGTTGATATATTTAAACGCTAGCAACGTCGTTAGCCCAGTAAGCTGGGCTTGTTTAGTGTAATAAAACCACTATGAACAAAAGCTAGTGATTCATATTAGGCTAGCAAGAACGTGTTTACAATTGCAATCCTATACGGGTAGTCTGCTACATTCATTGTAGCTGGCATAACAAAAAAAAATTCCCGAGCAAACCCATGTCTAGCTCCGTTGGTTAGCTCGGTAGCATACACGCTACGCCAGCTATAATGTAATTACGTTTCGCGACTGACCGTACGGCAAATCACCCGGAGTATACTGTCTATGAGTATTCGTGTGTGAATGCAGACATTCTCCTGCTATGAGATACATGTATGCAAGGCCATCTGCTGATATTAGAGTTGATATATGGAAACGCTAGCAACTTAGTTAGCACAGTTAGCACTGTGTCAATGGCTTAGCAGTCCGACACAGTTTACACATTTAAACAGTCTTGTTTGATAAATACACAAATAACAATGCAAACTTACAGGTTGTGTACCCGAATCTTCCCCTGCTCCAAACGGTCCAAACAAACTAGGAATAGCATCGTCCTTCAGTTTCAAATGCTGTGCATATCCGGCCTCAAACTGGGCAATGTTTTGGAAGCTTTCGTCTGTGAAATGCCGCGCACACAGTAACGTTCTTCGAACCTCTGAAGGAACAGTGTTAAAAAGACATTTCAACCACTGACTTCGTCGTGGTTCTTCCGTCGGTAGGACAAACAGCTCAGATTTCTCCTCACATTTCAGGAAACAGGTCCTTGGCATTGGCATGACTGGATCGATTGTGAACTGAACCAGAGCTTCCAACAGTAAATGTTAGGCTGGCAGAGGGTGCGGCCAGCGCCGCTGGGTGTGGCCATAGCTCTTCGGGATTGGTCCATTTTGTTCCGGGTACCGCATGACATCATGCCGTACCCGGAACTAAATGGAAGACTCAAATGGGCAGTGACGTATCTCCAACGAGGCGTTTTGGGGAGGTATTTTCTGTGTTAAGAGTTTTACTCGCTACAGGGTGTACTTTGAGGGTTTTGACTCGGCACACCGTTTACATGCATAAAAACCTTCATAACACACAAGGGGACGGGTAATAATCGGAAAAGCATGACATGGGAGCTTTAAGGTCTGCTGACCAGCTGCTGCTGGTAGTGCCCAAGACCAGGCTTAAAACCTGAGGGCACCGAGCCTTCGCAGCAGCTGGCCCTAGGCTCTGGAGCACTCTGCCCCTCCATGTGAGGTCGGCCCAGACCCTAGGGGTTTTTAAATCTACTATTAAGACACACTTCTTCTCCCTGGCCTTCTAGGCAGCTGCCCCCCCCCCCATAGATCCACCCCTGCAGACCGGTGAAGCCATTTTGGCGAGCTTGTTTTGCCGCGCACAGAGAAAAGTGTAATGTGTTTTACGTCATGCGATCGGCATTTTTAGAGAGCACCGATCGATCGGCAGAGTGAGTATCGGCCGATACCGATCGGCGGCCGATCGGAGCATCCCTACTATTAGGCATTGGTGTTGTTAATTCATAGACACTTTCTAAATGTACATTTTAATGTATAATTCCAATTAAGTTACCTTTTTATCTTTCAGTATTACTTCTTTATTTCGCTTTTGTATTATTGTTATGTTTTGGTGATGTTTTTTTTTTAACATTACTTTCAATATCATAGCAATATTTTCATTTCTTATACTTTATCTTCCTTTAATTGTTATTCTTAAATTCACTGGTGTTAGTGTTCTTATACACTTTATATTTATTCATACTGTTTGTTTTTGAGCAATCTCGTGCACTATAGTTTCCTCCAGAACCAATACAGTTTTATCTTTATCTTATCTATCTTATAAAACGTCAAGTTCCATCTATAAAAAGGATAACTATCAAACATGTCCTTGCTTGGTTTTCAATGTGTGTCTTACTGATTATATATAGTTCCCATTAACACAACAAGCAGAGAGTACCCCACACAAAACATGTGCACACAAACTCCCAACTTTCTAAAAATGTAAACAAATCGAGAATACTTACCTTAAAATAGCTAATACTCATTTAGATACGATCAACATAAAGCTGAAGTAAGGCTTTAAGACGCAGAAGTTCATGAATATGTACATTTAGATCAATTAAACAAAACTACAGTTAGCTGGTAACTAAAATAAGTCGTCAACAACAAGCACCGAAGTTAGATGGCTAACTGCTAACTAGCATCTTTGATTTTACAGTTAGCCTCTACCTTTTAACCATAGACTGTATATATAAAGCTTTTAACACATAACAGCTTCAAACAAAGCTTTAATAGTTTATTTATAATGAATATATCTGACAGCACTGTTGAATATATGGCATTAACATTGCTTTATAAGTCATGTGTAGTGTTGTAACTAAAACAAACGGGCACCGAAATGGACTTTGGATGTTGCCTGAGAATGCATATTTTCGAGCCTACCAACTTTAAATAAACTGGTAACTAGGGTTAATAACTAATATCTTTAGTTTGAGTGTAATGTTACGTGAACATATACAGCTTCTGGTTAATATATTGTGACTTTACGAAACAGAAACCGACCTCTGTTTTCCTTTTTCCTCGGTATGGGTATATTGAGGAGCCCCATCGGCATGTGCCGGTGGTGAACCGCCAGCGGTGCACAGCTCCTCCGCTCCGCCCTCCCGGCAGCAGCACCGAATCTCTCCGGACCGGCTTGACTTTCCCAGGCCGGGTAAACCTCGCCATCTTGCAGGCTATCGTTAGCTCTAACCTCCGCCGCAGCGGCAGACGCCCTCCTCGGCGGGCGAGCTGCCTCCTTCCGAGTCAGGTCCTCTTCCATTGTTGGTTTCTCAACCACAACGACGCGTCTCTTATCAACCGTCAGTGTGTCACTGTTTCTCGGCTTGAGCCCCGCGGTGACACCGCTGTTACCTCCGGGTCCCGCAGTGCAGAGAGGCGAAGAAACAACACACATCCCGCGCCATCATGCTTTTCCTGTAGCAAAGGTCTTCTTCACTGAGGCTAAACTTCAGCTGGTATTTTACTACATGTCACTCTACTGCCTACTTCTGGACATTACCGGAAATACCACCTTGTGTGTGGAATCCGCTTCAAGGTTCAAGGTTCTTTATTGTCAAACTGACATAGCTACAGAGTAATTATGTTGTTGAAAATCTTATGTCACAGGCTTCTCCAACAATGCAACATAATAACAATACAGATAGCAAGAGCAATACAAAAAGAAAAATAGTTATAAAATAAAGTGAGCATGTGGAATAGTGCAGTACGAGCATAGACTGTATCTATAAATAGACGTAGGGTCCGTGACGTCACCCATAGGATTCTGCAGAGTTGCCGAGAAGCCCTTAGTAGGTGGAGTCGGCCACTAACGGCTCTACAGTGACGTCTGAGTCTAACTCCCGCCTGCTCCAAATAAGGGCAAAGAGGCGGAGCCGAGGCGGGACCTGCTGGGAAGTAACAGAGCTAGCTCAAGCTAAGAAGCTAAGCTAAGCTAACATGCTCCCCATCTGCACCCTGCCGTCACATTTTACGTTTCTAAGGTAAGCGGACATGAAACTATTCAGCAAAACTATAAATAATAATCTAAGTTATTGAGTTTTTAGCATAATACTTCAGAATCTTAAAATCCCTTAACCTTTGTATGCAATGTGCTAAATGCAACACTAGAATCAAGCAAATTAATATGTTTGCATGACATTAGTTATTTATATTTTGCTATCACTTAATTATACGTTTAATACATTTAAGTCAAGCTAAGGTACAGTACATGTGATGGTAGCTAGTTAGTGCTCTTACCTGTGAGGCCTCCTCCAAACAGCATTATAACCAGACTGTATCATTAAAACTATAAGTACCAGTTCTAGAAGACAAAATGTATTTAAAGACCAATCTTTATTTATTATCTTTGTTTTATTTTATTTCAACAGTGAGCTACAAAGACAATCAGATTATGAATGAACAGTATGACATTCATCAACATTGAAATATATTTTATTATCAAAATAATATTTAACTGTTATCAAAACTTAGTGCAAGAAGCCCTAATGACCAGTCGCCACTGTATACAGTCTATGGTTTTAAGTTAACTTGGAGGATACGATTAGCATCGTTAGCACCGATGTAGCTACCACTCGCTTACACGCTAACCCAAGCCTTAACATTCATACGTAGCTGATTAAAATCATAAACACATAAATAAAGTACTCGAATTTCACTTACCGCAAAACGGCATTCATGCGCCGTCTGTTTTAACCGCAGAGCGAGTCACAATAGTCCAATATATAAGCATGAAGAACAAACAAACACGGCCGGGGTCAAGTTGTGTTCCCTGGATGAACTGGGCAGGCAGAGTCCCTGTAGCTTCACGGACGGAGCAGCTAGCAGAGAGACAAGAAGCTAGCAGCAGCAGTCACTTGACAGAGCTGTCACTCAATGTGACCACGCCCTAATTTATGCAAAAACTTTAAGACCTAATATAAATAAAAGGGTCATGTTAGAAAACAATTCACTCACAGATCCATAATCATGAAGGTGGAATCTAACTATATCTATAATAATATTTATTGGATCCATGGGTAGAAACATGTTTTTTTAGGCTGTAAAATTGGGCATTTTAACATGGGGGTCTATGGAAATTGCTCCTTTCTGCAGTCAGCGCCTATCGGCCAATATATGAACTGCAGTTTGTGGCACTTCCGTATTGGCGTCCCGGCTCTTCCCCAGAGTTTGCCGCTTGAGTACGAGTCTATATACAAGTTATTGGAATGATATATATTAGATATTAGATACATATTACTGAGTAGCAGATGAATGTTTTGAAGTTGTTTCAATAGTTCAATTGTTTAACAGTCTCACTGCCCGCGGGAAGCAACTGTCTCCGAATCTTCTTGTCTTTGCCAGGATGCTGCGGTAACGTCTGCCAGACGGCAACAGAAAGAACAGTTTGTGGCTGGGGTGATGGGGGTCTTATTCATGTGAATGTAAAATAAATATACATAACAATTATCCAAATATTAACAAATAAAAGTTGAAGTGGAGACTTACATGTTAATAGGGTAAACATTAACCAATATGTATTTTATATTAAACTTACCAAGGTCATTAAAGGTGGGGTAGGTAAGTTTGAGAAACCGGCTCGAGATCGCTAGAATTTGAAAATACACAACCGGAGAAAATCTGCCACTTCCTTATAGAGCCCCTCCTCCAACACACACGAACGCGCACATGACCAATGAGGGCACGAGATAAGTTTGTGCACAGATGGAAGGCTGACAGGCAGGTAGGCCATCCAGTTATTTTAGCCGGGCCGGCTAAAATAATTGGTCGTGCTTTTTACAGTATTACGGCTTCCACAGATGAAATGTTTTAATGGATTTTTTGTCAAAGCACTTAAGATATTCATTGCTATTGGGATGTTAAGAGCATTCCATGGAATATAACAAAAAGTGTATCTCGAGCCGGTTTCTCAAACTTACCTACCCCACCTTTAAGACAATTTGCTTTTCAATCAAAATTTGTAATTTGATTGTTTGAAAATGAGGCATTTTGTTATTTTAGTTATTAGTTTGGGTTCTAAACAGTTTCCCTATAATAATATTTGTAAAATGGGAATAAAGCCCAGTTGTGCAATGTTACCTCAGGACAGGAGGGGGATGTTTTTATTTTTGAGAAATACTTCACAATTTATCCATGGTTTTATGCTTCTCCTGTTACAATGTGAAAATTATGTTTTATCTTCTGATATAAATCCAGGGGGCATCAGTTTTCCTTCAGCTGCTACCTTTCCACTGTGTTTTTTAGTTAGTTTTTGAGTGTCTGCTTCTTCTATAGAGAGGCGAAGTCCCGCCCATCTACTTCCGACCCATGGGACCTTATTTCGGAAAAATTATGTATTGAAGTCAATGGAGAGAGAAAGATTATCTTTCGACCCCGTTTGAATTGTGCAACGAATTACACATATGATGTTTGTCAATCTTAAAAAATAATTTCCATGTCAAAAAAGTCACAGTTTGTCGTAAAACTGTTGAAATATAAGACTATGAAAAATATGCAACTAGAAAGACTACAAATCCCAGAATCCCGGTCCCGCATGCTGGCTCTTACAGAACCGACTAACTCCCCTTTTGTGTATGTACAGCTCTCAACATGCCCAGACTTGGAGTGATTTTCACCTCTTTTAATACTTTTCGCCTCATTCTGAAAGAAAGAAGTGAAATGTGCCAACGTGACGGCCGTCTTGCATACTTGCCAACCCTCCCGATTTTCGCAGGAGACTCCCGATTTCATTGCCCTCTCCCGGTTTCCTCCCGGGGTCATATTTCTCCCGCATTTCTCCCGATTTCTGACAAAATCAGATTTACTCACGACTGTTTCCACTCGGACTTTAATACAGCTACACCATTGTTTGGTTTCCATGGTAGCGCGTCTCTTTAGTAGCGCGCGCAAATGAAAGTCTGAGAGGGTGAGGAAGATAGTCACAGAAAACTGAACAAGAATCGACCCCTCTGCTCACTCCTTTCCTGTAGGTCCAGCCCACACAGATGCTCCATCAAGGATGGTGCAACAGGCCGCAAGGCAAAAGGCGCTTTCACACCGCAGTACTTTTCCCACAAAGGTTTATCAGAACTTAGTTCATCAGAACTCTTTAGTTCTCATGAATTAAGTACAGATCGCATTCACACCGGAATAAGTCCCTGGGGGAGGATTAGGCAAATGAAGCCGCTGACGTCACTTCTTCTTCTTCTGCTTTGGGTTCATCGCCACCGCTCCCATGTTTTCTTTTGTGTTGCCATAAGTTAGTCTCTCTGCGTTTCTGCGCTGGGCTAATGCTAATGCTAATAATGCTAATGCAAGGATAATAAAATGGCGGCTTCACAAAACTTTTTGGGAGTTTTACGGGGCGTGGTTTGCAATCCGCCCAGCCAATCAGACATAGGAACCTTTTTCTCCCACGAAAGTACCTGCTCTCTAGCAGGGACGGAAAACTGACGGAAAAGCGGGGTAAAAAGGTTCTCATGAACTAATTTTAGTTCCGGCTCTTTTTGGTGTGAACGTGACATTTCGGAACTATATCGGAACTAAAGTGGGAAAAGTACTGCGGTGTGAACGCGCCTATTGTCACTTACAACTACAATAAGCATGTTAATGTTAATCTACAGCTCCGGCGATCCACTAGCCCCCCCCCCCGGCGGTGGTTTTGAAATGCTCCCGATTTCTGAGGTCTCAAGGTTGGCAAGTATGCCGTCTTGGTGTGTGGTGCGAGACGGGAGAGGTAGTACATTGAGCGGTTTCACACAAAAAAAAGTGTTACTTCACATTTTTACGACACATTTTAATTTTTTTGACTTGCAAAATTATCTTTTAAATTCACAAACATCATATGTGTAATTCGTGGCACAATTGAAACGGGATCGAAAGATAATCTTTCTCTCCCCATTGACTTCAATACATACTTTTTTCGAAATAAGGTCCCATGGAGGTCCCCCGGAAAGGGAGGGACTTCGCCTCTCTATAGTTACCTGCTGCACTCAATACTTTTCCACAACCCCCGCCTCCACCTCCCCCCACTGATCAATCAATCACTCAGTCAATGTTTATTTATATAGCCTGTTGAGATCTTCATATTAGGTTGAATAATTAAAACGAAAGTTAGTTATAATCAAATATAGTCAATTATAATCTTGTATCTGCTCTTAGGCTAGCCCACACTAGTGCTACCCCAGATCCTGCTCCTTTTCTGTGCCCTGCTGTCCTCGACCACTTTGAGCCTGTATCCCTCTCTTCTCTCTCGGATGTAGTCAAGCACCTGCGGCCGACAAACTGCACCTCAGACAGCATTCCCTCTCGCCTTCTCAGAGATGTTTTAGGATCAGTTGGAGCAAGTATTTTATTACTTATAAATACCTCTCTTAGCTCAGGATGTGTCCCAGCTGCCTTCAAACATGCCGTGGTTAAGCCACTACTTAAAAAGAAAAATCTCGACCCTTCCATTCGCGCAAATTTTAGGCCCATCTCCCAGCTACCTTTTTTATCAAAAGCCCTGGAGCGAGTAGTCTACGCCCAGCTGCAGTCTTTTTTAACCATGCATGGCATCCATGAAAAGTTTCAGT